ATAAATAAATAAATAAATAAACAAAAAACAAACAAAAAACACCTAGGTTTCAGTCTTCATTAGAATAAGAGCAAAATGAACCCAAAGAAACAGAAGAAAATAATAAAAATCAAAGTGGGACTCAAATAAGCCGAAAACAGAAAAAGTTTATGAAAACACAAGGGATCTTGTATAACCAAAATAATTTTGAAAAAGAACACGACTGGAATACTTTCTGATTTCAAAACTGAATAGAAAGGCTGAGGCACTATTGCTGCAGGAGCCACGACACCTAAAAAGGGAGCAAAGGAGGCCACAAAGGCCTACGAGGCAGTACATGAGCCCCTAGGAAAAGGATACACAGCTCTAGGCTGGAAAGCAAAAGGCCAGGGAAGAGGAGAAGCAAGGAAAGAAGCTGAGGATAATGAAGACGACCACCAGCAAAGGTGTGAAATGGCTCATCAACATCAAGAACCACAACCGGGTGGCACAGATAATCAGAAAGGTAACACAGATGGATCTGGACAAGTCAAAGGTGCTTTCAAGGAAAGAAGACAGAGAGAAAGCAAAAGAGCATTACATTAAAATGCATTTAGTAGGAAGACAGAACAGGCCAAGGTTGACCTCACCTGGCTGGAGATCAGCCATAAAGAGCAGAAAGAAGTGCAGGAGGTCACCAGGAAGAAAGAAGAAGCAAGAAAAGCAAAAGATGCAGCTTTATCAAGAAATGAATGCAATTACTTACTCCAAATAAGTAAGCATGGCCTGTGGGAGGAAATGGGCCCTACTGCCAGGACCTCTGTTGTGTCTTGCCCACTCTATGCCCTGGTGCCACTGATGCAGCCCCTCAGAGCTAGAAGCCCCCCCTGTGGCCTGGGGCCTCCTCTTCATCATCTTGGCACATAAATCATCTGGGGGGAAAGGAGAGCTGGGGGACTGGGGAGGGGGATAGCGGCTATCTTTGAGACAAAAAGATGAGGACTGTATTTCCTATGTAACCAATGGAATGGTTTTGTCTTCAAAATTTACAATCTCTGTTGGGAGGAAGAGGGAGTATATAGGAGGTGGGTTAAGAAGTTTTCATTTGCCAGGTAGATTGCACCGTAAGGGGCGGTTGTGCTGGGGTCAGCTACTGCTAAGTTTGCAACAACCAGACCTGGACTGTGTTGCATGGGTGCTCACTCAGAGAGAGACTATTCTTCAAGTCCCTGAGGGTCATGGCTTGTCCCTGGCCAGCCCCCTCTAACTGAAGCCTCCTCTCTCTGCCTTTCCCTCCCCATTCCCAGCAACCTGGGCAGGGCCAGTATCCATTTTTAACTCTACTCATCTATCATTTCAAAAAACTTCTGTTTACTCTGCAGCACCCAGGCAAACCACACTCCACAAATTCAATGTATGTATTCAGCATATTAAACTTCACATTATCATTAAAAAAAAACCCAACTCCATATAAAGTTACAGTAAACTAATCAAGACAGTATGATATTGGCATAAGGATAGACATATACAGATGATAAGAGTCTAGAAATAAATCTTTACATTTATGGTCAACTGATTTTCAACACAGGTACCAAGACAATTTAATAGGGGAAAAACAGTCTTTTTAACAAATGGTATGGGGTTAACTGGATAGCCAAATGTAAAAAGATGATTTTAGAAACTAACACACAAAAACTAACTCGAAATGGATCACAAACCTCAATGTAAGAGACTGGGAATAGGGACTGCCTGCAAATGGACATGTGGGATCTCTTTACTGTGACAGAAATATTCTAAAACAGGTGTGGCTGCAGAACTAGGCAGACACACTAAAACTCACTGAACTGTACACTTAAAATGGGTGAATTTTATGATATGGAAATCATACCTCAATAAAGTTGCTTTAATTAAACCTCAACTAAGTGACAAAAATTCTCAAAGAAGCATCTCTTTAAAAAAAATTTTTTTTAAGTACTAAAGTACTAACAAATGAGGCTCAAGCTTATTCAATGTCAATTTTTCCAAGTCTACCTCTTCTAAACTGATTTAGAAAAAAGAACTGTGTTGCTAATATCAATTTGAAATAAAATTTAGTATGAGTGATAGCTAAAGTAACTTATATGACCTCAGAAGATTAGGAAAAAACATATCCTAGAAAAAAGAATGACTGTTGAGAATAATCTAAAAACTCATGCCATATTCCTATCAGAAATTTTCACACAAATAAAAAAGGCAAAAAATTTCCATTTAGCTTTACATAAGCTGTTACAGACTGACAATATAAGGGGCCAAGTCACCATTTCAATATTTAAGCACTTTAACCAAAAGTGTCAGACTGAAAATGAACTTAAAATAGTGATACTCAGTAATTCATGACACCTTTCAATTCCTTTGTTTCTGTGCTACAAAGATAAGCAATACATTTAAAAGATGAAATTTTCTTGAGTATAAATTTATAGTGACATGCAAAATCAAAAACTGAATTTTTCCAATACATCATCTAACAATTTAAGTGCTCCTCTATCATTTTTTAAAAAAAAAAACCTCTCAATATTAATGTGCTATATTAGAGACAAAATCATACAAAATGAGATAGCACAAACCACCTAAGTATAAAAAACTTATAGATAATTCTATATTCCATTCTAGTACTATAGGGCACATTTAAAGGACACTTATAATTAGCTCTTAATACACAACTGATAGATTAGTAATATTGACATATACTCCAGCCCAAGATCAGTTTCTATTGCCAAATGCAAACCTCTTCATAATTCTAGAAGAAACAAATCACTGATTCAATTTATAAGGTCACACAACTGAAGTGTACTCAAACGCTTTGTATCTTAAGATAGTGACATCCTCAACAGGAAGATGTACATGATATAAAGAACTGTCTTTCAGTATTTTACTTTAAAATTAAGTGCTAAAAAAAGAAAATGAATGGCAATTACACCACAAACACCTATCTATCCTGTAACACAGGCCTGTCATTGTTAACTTTTAATTATTACTGTATCTGGCTGTATGTCAAGTAAGCAAAAAGCCATCTCTATATAAAGAATATTCGGGATTGCAAAGGGAGATCCAGAACCTGCTAAAGAACCACAAAGTTAAAAATATATATACAAAATAATGGAGAAACAGGAACTAAAATGACTAAAAAGTGGAAAATTCTGTTATTTTCTTTTTTAAAAAGACTGGGTATGGAAATCTAAAAGAAATATCTTCATGAAAACAGCTGATAAGGCATTTTTAGTAATTTATAATGCTGAGAAATGTTAACGCTGAAAATAAAAGCTGATACCTAGTTTTCAAATTCAGAAGTCCTTTAGCATGTTTAGTCTTTTCTCTTTGGAGACTTCAGTTTGCAATGAATAAAGGCTACCACTATTGATGACTCTTCACTGAGATTTAAGAAATAAAATTCTTTATCTGCTAATTGGTGCTAAGTATCAAGGACTTTATTGGTTGGAGTAGACAGAAGAAAATGGTTAAGAGGCTTCACAGAAACAACTCCTGCTGGCACATTACCCACTAGAGAAGACAAAGACTACTTATGTGAACTCTAAGTCTCCAGATTAAAATCACCAAAAAAAGTCCCTTCGTGTAGCACCAAGTCCAAGCTCTATAAGGTAAACAGAAGCGAAACAATTTTTAGCTTAGTTAAAAAGAAGTGTAATCATTTTTATTATGTTTCTATAATTTTTCACTTAGCTAGTAAAGGTGTCACTTAAACACTTTGTAACTTTTGATATAAACCAACTTAAGCAGTTACTTCTTTATCTCCCAAATTTCTAAACCATTTCACAGGAGCACGAAAGTCAGATGAAAAAATAATTCAACTCTATAAATATGGAACTCCCTTTTAAAAACAAAATGTTTTTTATTAATCTACAGGATCAATTCAGAATCTCTTTTGGAGTAATTTTATTTACTCTGGACAAGCAAAACCACTATATTACATGAAAAGCTAATAATCTGCCTGTTAGCCTATTTATATTCTTTTCACAAGCCTACTTATATTCTAGCTAGTCCCCCATCCAGTACTTTTTTTTTTGGTGTCTTCAAACGAAGTGGTAAAATAAAATGCCAAAACAGCATTTTTTTGAACAAATTAAATTTTAGTGTGTGTTAAGCATTGCAGTTTTTATTTTTTTTAAGCATTGCAGTTTTAAAAACAAAAATGTACTCAAACTGTTATGAATTAATAAAAATGTAATACCTAATTTGGATATGAATATCTTGTATAATATTTTTCATGAAGAAAAAAAAAAGAGTGACTTTCAGTTTAATCAGCAACTTTCTAAGTTAACAAATTTGAAACAGTGTTACTCAGGGGAAAGAAAATAATGACAACATAAATGTTCCGGGGCCACTTTGTTCTGTGGTAGCTCACATGTTTACATACTATTATCTGTAACTCCATCTAATGATGACTTTAAAGAGGAGAGTCTCTCTCCTTCTCCTAAGAATCCTATTCATAATACTTCTTCTCTGGCTAATTCATAATGAAAGATGTTTCCAAAACAAATAGGCCTGCGTTTCACCTTATAAACTACTGGTGTGAAGGCATGCATTTTAGGAATAAAAAACACATGCCTTAAGAAATGTGTATTCTATTCAGGAATTATTTGCCTTGGTTTTTCTTTCTCAGTAAGGTTTAGAATATTCTTCCTCTACATGGAAATTAGAGCAGAGCCTCTGAGCAATGCAATGGTTGGCCAAATAAACTGAACTAAGTCACACCATTACAAAGTACATATGCCTGACCACGATTTGCCAATATACATTCAATTCATTATCTTCAATCTGTTCAATTCATAAAGCACTTCTTACTTGGATATACAATCCAATCACACCAAAGGCTTATTATAACTTAAAATGTAACCACATAAGCCATCTTTACACAGTTCCAAAAAGACCCCAAGAGAATGCTGCTATTTAAAACAGAACAGTTATTTCTGACAAAACCAAAATTAATCAGTAAAGAAGAGATTCTTTAGAAAGGCTCTTTCAGTAACAAATCAAATTTTACATACCTGTAATATCAAGAACAGAAGGAGATGCAATGTAGTATCTATGAACTGTTTCAAGAAGTTGAGCACCATGGCCTTGACCTTGAAATGGAGTCAGTATCAGCATCTGACTACAGTAAAGAAATGATTGTAAAATTAAAATATCACAACATGATCTGTTTAAAAATTGCAAATCACTGTAGTATTAAGAACATTTTAAAGTTAGTGGGTTTTTTTTCAGTCAACCTTCAAGAAATCCAAAAATTATTGAGATACTCAAAATTGGTTTAATCTTCTACACTGTTTCAAAGGGAACAATGAAATAAATCAGTACATAGTCAATGAATAATGGTGATTTTTTTAAACAAATCAACACTATTATAACAAGTATTGGAAACTTCAGCAGTTCCTTCTTCTGAAATAAAAGACAAGGCACGTGTTATACCGCCAATTACCTTACACGTGGCCGGGTTTTGTCTGGGTACACATAGTAATTATAGACTGTCATGTAGCCTACGGTCGCAAAGAGCGTAGCTCCATCCTTATTATACTTCTCAAATCTGCAGATAAAACAGAAAGCCAAGCAGGTCAATTACAGTCGCGCTCCCATGCAGTGTCCATTTTCTTTTCCATTCTCTGACTGAATTTTCAGTGTCAGCAAGCTACTCTGTGAGGGCCCAATGGGTACACCTGCTATGTTCTGAATGTACAATTCACTTAATTGATGTGCAGCAACTTGGATAAATCAGACCTCTTTACATCACTTCAGTGCACTTGCCTATTATAAAGATGAATAGGTGGCAAGTAAAAGAAAACACAGGCAAAGCTCATTTTACTGTTTAAGCCTACATTCAGGGTCCTAACGGACAACAGCATTTAATTCAGCTCTATTCTCAAGGTCTCCGAAAGCATAATGAAGGAAAACTCAAGCCTTATAAACAATAGTTTTTCTTTCCTGGGAAAAATATCATTATACTGTCCCAATAATTGGGCCGCCACAATTAAAATGCTGGCTTTGTGGAGGTAATAAGGTCTACTGTTGCTTTAGAACTGTACTTACACTAGAAAGTAGTGCCATCTTTCATCATCCACGTCAATAAAGCTAGCAGTTTCAATAAACCACATCAAAAAGGTCTGAAGCCTTTCATGATATTCTCGAAAGCCTCTACATGTCATGTCAGCCTAGGGAAAAAGCCAGGAAAAGTCAGGTGAAACTCATCACAGAGGTAAGGGAAAGTCTGTAGAACACAAAACTATCCTGTGGGAAAATGTTTAGAAGTCTCAGATTAAGATGTGTACACAGACACACACACAAAATAGATCTTTGTTTTTAATCCTGAAAGAAACTTGTTTCCTGAAGCTAGAAATGAGTCACTGAAAATAACACAACAAAACAGCATACAGGTTTCAGGCAAATGGAGCACTTTTTACCCAAGAAATATTCAGATTTATCTTTACCTTGTATATCTGAAAGGTAAAGTTTTCCCCTCCTGTTGGACTGAGGACAGAGTATGTATGGAGTAAGGTTCCAAATGGCTTGAAATCAACTTCTTTTTCCAGCAAAGAGAGAAAATCATTTGTGTTTGTACAAAATCCAGGTGGGATGATTTGTCTAATTTTGCCCTCAACATCATCTGCCTAAAGAATAGAGGTTAAAAGACATAAGAAAAAATTCATAACAAATTTGACTTTTAGTTGAATATGCTTAATTTCTTTGAAATGGACAAAAATCACAAAACTGCAGTTCACAGTTAAAGAAGTAAACACATTGAGAACTGGGAAAGGATGAATTTTGTGTGCACGAAAGACTATCACCCAAATCTGAGATGAGCAGAAGTATATACAAAAATAAAAAAGAAGAGATAGGTAGCCTGAAATCAAGTACAAGAATGAGGACTATGCTACTGAAATTTCTAACAGCATCTACAAAATACTGACTATATCCTTTCAGGACAATTTGAACTGGCCCAAACAAAAGGCTGCTTATTATTTTATGTATGTCAAGGAGACGATATTATCCAAGACATGAAAAGATCACAAGCAGTGGTAAGGTGAGGCTATAGTCTGACCAAATGAAAAGCAAACTCACAACGAACAAGTAGACAGGTCATAACTCTTTCATACATTAAACTCAGTATTAACATGACAATTTAAAAAATATACCCATTTAGGACATACATAATTTATATGAATGGATATATTATCCACTCATCTCTATAATGTGACACAATTTTTATAGACTTGGATTTGTGACAGTAAAAAGAGACAAGCCTGGACAACAAAATTAAACTCAGAGACTAAAATTACCCTTGTTAAACAACCTCAATGAATGTTAAAACTATCAGCTGAGCAGACTTCATAATCCCTTTCAAAACCCCAAAAGACCACTTGATTGAATACATTTACTACTTCTCTTTAACCATGAATATTTGATGAAGTCTTACAATAAAGTATTACTGCTTCTCACCAGGCAATAAAACTTAATGAATTGGTCTCAACTTAACAAAACCTTATCCCTCAATACAGTCCCTAAAAGCCTGACATTACATTCAACAAAATGAGCTTGCATTCTATTCAAACTTTTTCCTGAACAATGAGGCCAGGTTTTTACTTAATGGAGTTTGCCGTGAGTTCAGCTGTAATGTTTGTATTGTATCTATTTCCACAAGGACTGACACAAGAACACTTTGTGTTAACTTACTAAGCAGCTCTTTCATACCGTTTACATGCATGATGGGTATTAGTTCTAAACCAAGACCCTTGCTACTTAGCATTCAAAACAGGGAAATTAAGATGCTTAGGACAAAATACACTACAAAAGGCTAATACAACATGCTACTAATTCCTGTCCTTTCAACCATCTTTTAACTAAGTAGAAGCAATGCACCTGCAGATGAATAGCACTTTATTATCATTCAGTTACATTTTAGGATAGAGAACCAAGGATGGAGTTTATCACAAACAAGTTTTATTTTCAATGCTCTGGTACCACCAACATTTATACATAACTTGTTTATAGCTATAAAAAAAAGAAGAGCTATTATTTAAAATATAGCTCTTCAGTATTTTACCCAACAGCTTATTTCTAATATGTATTCATTTGCCCTCTAAACCAAATAAACTGCATTTGATATTTTTTGTTTAAACTGCTATCTAATGTGAAGAGACTATCTTAAACATATTTTATAGAATATATACAATTTCAATAATTACCACAGGAAACTGTAATAATAAGGAATAGTCTTAATGGGTCTGATGTGTGGCAATTAAAATCCAAAGCAGTAATGGGTAAAGTAGTATAATTTTAGTTCAAGGTAAAAAAAAGTCAAGAAATGCTTTTTAAATAAAGAGGTTTATAACCTATCAGTTTAAAACACTTCAAAGCACTTATAGTGTATTTAATTCTAACTTTTAAAAACTTTCCCTCTATCCTGTCTTCTCAACAAGGCATTGCAAAGTATGATTAAATAACTTCACACATCTTGCATCAAATGTACTTCAAAGATTTCTTAGAAACTAAGTTTCAAGTAGCAGTTCTGGTGGAAGACAGAGCAACCCAAAGGTTTGAGCTCAACAAAGTTGAAATAGAGTTAACTTTCAGTCTTCAAAGGATACCTATATATTGTAATAAATATCTTCAAATAAATATTTTGCTTTGGGCAAGTTTACACATTAAAGAACTTTTACAGGAAAATAAAAGGCTAAGTTTAAAAACAAGGACTCTGTTATACATAACAGATTAGAGAAAATGTGTATCAGATATATTACATAAAATATAGAACATAAAACCAAAGGGCTCTTCAAACCTAGAATTCAGAATCTTGCTTCACTGGAGGAAAAACGTATGCATTTCTCTTTAGATTCTGTTTTAAGAAAAAAATCCTATAACCACTTGTTTTAGAGATCTGTACTCTTCTACTTTAGTTCAGTTAAATATTCATTTTTCATATTGGATTACTGTCCAGATAATAAAATCATCACTACAGAAAAACTCATCTCATCAATTTGAAAATAACTTTTATTTTTAAAATTTTAATTCATTTATTTATTTTAGTAGGCTCTAAGCCCAAGATGGGGCTTGAACTCACAACCCTTAGATCAAGAGTTGCATGCTCCAGGCACCTGGGTAACACAGTTGGTTGAGCATCGGACTCTTGGTTTTGGCTCAAGTTGTGATCGCCGGGTCATGGGATTGAGCCCCACATTGAGCTCCATGATCAGCATGGAGTCCACCTGAGTTTCTCTCTCCCTCTCCTCCTCTTCACCCCACTCTCATGCAAGTGTGTGCACATGCTCTCTCTCTAAAATAAATAAATCTTTAAAAAAAAAAAAAAAGGTTGCATGCTCTAGTGACCGAGCCAGACAGGCACCCTCCCTTCTCATCTTTTTAAAATTCAATGTTGAATCAAAGATTAACTGAAACCTTTTAGTTCCAATGCTTGTAGCTAAAAGTTCAGATTCTATTTCTGAAGATCACTGAAAAATTCCCTACCTGCAAGGATATTATTTTAAACTTCAATTAAACTTATGGAAAAAATATACTTATAGAAAAGATAAGGGGTGCCTGGGTGGTTCAGGTGGTTAAGCATCTGACTCTTTATCTCAGCTTGGGTCTTGATCCCAGGGTCATGAGTTCAAGCCCTGCACTGGGCTCCATAATGGACATGGAGCCTACTTTAAAAAAATTAAAAAAAAAAAAAAAAACCTGTGTTTAAAAAAAAATTAAGCTGAATAGATCAAGAATCCAGAATACAACCTGATCTATTCAATTAATAAAGACACGCCTTACAAATGTTTTCCAAACATTTAGCAATAGCTTTTAAAAAAGGAAAGTATAAAGGTAACTATTCTATTTAGTTCTTAGGTCAGTCATGATGAAATGTTTTAGACTGTATACTCTCTCACTCTGGTCATTTCAACTTCCAATGTTCTGTACTTTGTTACACGTCATGTTCCATGAAGCCATTTTTGCTTTTCCTCATCACTGCATAAAGAATGTGCCTGAAAATAACTGGTAGTCTGCTATGATATAAATATGTCTACACTTTATTTGTATTTGTCCACATTTGAAAACCAAATTACATCTTTAGGATCTTTTCCTAAATAGCACCATTTGTGTAAATTTGTCTATGGTGAGTTATTTTTGAAATAGCAATTAAAAAAGGCATGTTAAGTAGGTGGTCCTTTTACATGGCTAAAGTGGTAGGCTTAATTAACATTGACTAGAATTCTAAGATTACCTAAGATATACTACAAAAACAAGCCAAAGAATTTCCATATCTACTTAATTTGCTCAATCTTACATTACCTGACAACATTTAAGCTGTGGAAATTTGAGTATTGTTAGAGAAATTAACAGTGTGAATTTTTTCACTACTGGAAAAACAAAGGCAGTATTCTGTGATTTATACTGCATTGGTGTTTTGCTACCTAAACTCACATATAAAATTCGAAGACAGAAATCTCAATATATAATTTTAAAGCTTTTCATATATTTTATAAAAAGCATTACTCATGAAAAACAGTTACAATTATCAAAAAGAGTATAGTGAAATATTATTAACCTACTGAAGATTATTTTTTCATTTCAAGATTAAATTTTTGTAAGTACACAGGGTTTTTCTATAAGAGGCTAAAGAATCCAGAAATTTTTTTTTTTAAGATTTTATTTATTTATTTTGACAGAGACACAGCGAGAGAGGGAACACAAGCAGGGGGAGTGGGAGAGGGAGAAGCAGGCTCCCCGTGGAGCAGGGAGCCCAATGAGGGGCTCGATCCCAGGACCCTGGAATCATGACCTGAGCTGAAGGCAGACGCTTAACGACTGAGCCACCCAGGTGCCCCTCCAGAAAATTTTAAAAATCTGCTCTCATCTACTCTCAAATTCAATCCATATTAGTGGGAGACAAGGATAAAATAGACAACTGAAGTTCACAGATAATACAAACCGTACCCATGTATTTCAACTTCCTCTGCCAAACCTTTTCCCAGAAATGCTAGCAATTAGCAAGACTGAACAATCTTAGTCATACACCCTTACACTAAAAGGCAATGAAATTAACTCAAGAGAAAGCAGGAGGCTCTGAAAAGTGTAAGATGAAAGAAACTGAAGACAACACAAATAAGTGGAAAGATATACTGTACTCATGGTTTAGAAGAATTATTATTATTAAAAGGTTTGAACTACTCAAAGCAATCTACAGATTCAATGCACCTTTCCTCAAAATACCAATGGCTTTTTTCACAGAACTAGAACAAAGAATCCTAAAATTTGTATGGAACCACAAAAGGTCCTGAATAGCCAAAGCAATCCTGAGAAAGAACAACAAATCTGGAGATCTCATGCTCCCTGATTTCACAGTATGCTAGACTACGAAGCTGTAGTAGTCCAAACAGTATGGTACTGGCACAGAAACAGACACAGAGATCAACGCAACAGAAGAGAATGCCTAGCAATAAACCCATATATATACGGTCAAGTAATCGATGACAAAGGAAGAATAAACAATGGGAAAGACAGTCTCTCCAATAAATAGCATTGGGAAAACTGGACAGCCACAGGCAAAAGAATGAAACTGGACCACTCTTGTACATTATATAGAAAAATAAATTCAAAATGGATTAAAGACTTGAATGTG